ACTTCGTGCTTAGGCATGTGTAATGAACACTAGCTACCTGGAATTAAAAAGCACTCCTGCACTATGAAACACAAACGATCAGAAAATTTTATTGACCTTCAGTAACAGCATCATAACCCTCCAAATTACTGTCTCATATCCAAAATTACCGTCGCTGTCTAGTGCCCATAGAAGACCTCCAAAACATCACCGATCTGCCGAGATAAGTGCTGGTGAAGCTATCCAAGGCCAGTGACAGGAAATTTGCCAGATAATCATCTAGTTTTCTTAAACTGCACCATAGTACAGCACAGCATTATGAATGAAGTAATCCACTTTAAAAAAAAAAAAAATTCTCATATTTTTAAAGGTACCTTTCTGTATATTGAAGAAATCTGAATTCACTTTTGAGTAGTCGAGACCAGTGAAAAGTTACTCCATCCATGTGATAGGGTGGACACCCACTGACAACTTACCAACACACACTAAATATTATGTCTTATTTTAACTGGTATCCATGAGACTATTCATTAATCTGCTCAGCTTTATTGCATTTCTCTTCTCCTTCCCCCTCCTACCATTTCCAGGAAAATCCCTAGTCACGCCAGATTAATAAAATAAATTTTAAGTGAGTGACAGACAACTCCCTCTCCCCCAAGACAGACAAATCTAGGCTAGAATAACATATAGATAGATCATTAACTGAATCAAAACCCCCTCTGAATGATTTACCTCTCAGGAGCGGCTGCAGCAAAGTGTTCAGAAAGTCTGGGGGAAGGGACACTGCCAGGGGAGGACTCTGCTATCGGCAAAAGAGCAGCTGCAGGTTCTGGTCTAGCACCTTTTTCACTCCATTTAAGTAATAAAACCAAATTGAGATATACAGAGAAAGAGATTTTTTTAATCCACATTGAAACAGTATGTTGAACAGGAGACATTGTGCATGAAAGCATTAGTAAATTGGGAAAAAAAACAAAACAAAAATGCAAAAAACCCAAAAATGTGAAGTTTACAGCAAAATACAAATGGGAGATGAAGTAAGGCACAATACACTTAGGGCATGTCACACTTTTAGTGAAGGTTGATGCTGCTTATAAACTCAGAAAGCCAACTAGTATTTTAGATTTAAAAAGATGAAACACATGTATTTAGTATTACATTTTGTGGTGGAAAACTTTTAGGAAATACTGGAAAAGAAACAGACACAAGTGCTAGTGGGATTCCCTCCCAAAGTTTTATACACTTTTTTTCTGCAACATTTTTAGGGTGTTAGTTTGGTGAAGGTTAGACTTTATGTTTCTCAGTATTTTTTCATATCCTTTCTTTTTTTCAGTTGTGATAGGTGAAAAAAAAGTCTCAAAAATGTTGTCTTAAAGCCCTCTACTTGAAGAAGAGCACTTGTCAGACTAGGTACAGAGCAATCACAACCACAAGTTTTGAGCAGACTAAGCCACAGGAGCATGCATTACTGCCTTTTTTTTTTTTTTCTTCACATTAGCATGCAAAATTAGGTATTTTAATAAAGGAGGAAGCATTAAGTGTTGAAAATCGTTGAACAGACTTAGGAACAACCAGGGAGCAGACCTCATAGGTGGTAAAGGTGTGGATGGAAATTCTGGTACAGATGGCATCTCCAAAGTCTGGGTAGCTATGAAGTTTTTATTCAGATTAATACAGGCATCCTGGGCTCCTGCTCCATTAGGTAGATCTGCAGGTATGCTTTACAGATATTTATGACATGGCAGGGGAAAATAAATACAAGATTTATGACAAGTTGTTTCAGGACTGACCAAGAGTGGGACAAACATTTTTCCGGTGGCTATGGATTAGCTAAACTACAAATCTGGAAAATCCGGACACATTTTCACTCAGGACAATGAACTGACTCCACAATTTAATGCCAAAATCAAATCCATACCTGGCTGCTCAAAAGGACGTGGTTAAAAGTAAACATCTAAGACATACTTGGAAATGAGGTGCTGTAGAATTAGAACTAATCAGTTACTAAAACACATAAACTTTACATAGACTTTGCCTTTCTAAGCTTTAAGGAACTGGTTTAAGAGTTGCAATTTACACATTTCAGTGAGGACCTTTTTCTATTTCTATTTCCTGACCCTTCTAGCTGTTGAAAGGAAAAAAAATATATTTTATCCACCAAAAAATCCCTAATGGGTTACAGTTTAAATAATATACAGTTTATAAACAATAATAAAAAAAATCCACGTGGCATTTGTTTTGGACAATACCTGCCTGAAAAGTTGAGTATTGTTAAATTGGGATATTTATCTGTAGATTACTCATGGAAAGAAGTTTCCATTTCATTGTTTGTCATATTCATCCCTCTAGGTGATCTCTTAAATGTAAGCTTATTCATTTGTACCAAAAACCACTCAGAATACCTTTTCAGAGGTCAAATGTATGCTGGGAATCAGACATGAGCTAGGACAAGTTATCCACATGCAAATGAAAAGCAGTCTGTTGTTTTGGAAACAGTAACAAAGTCCAAAATTTAACATCAACAAGTGTTGTGCAATGGGGATATTGGGCAAAGAGATGACATCTTTAAAGCCGTAAATGAAATTCATTTCACACATTCAAGAAACATTTTTGGAACCAGTGATTTGTTATTATCAATTAAAAGGAAACTAATAATTTTAGTAGCCTTTCTCAAACTGTTCTCATATCCTCAATAGATAGACTCTATGACTATCTTTAATCAAAACAGAGACCTCTCAACTTTGGATTATTTAGAGAGGCTTTGCCTTCCATTTCTCACTAAAGCAACACACCCTTCAAAGGGATAAGTGCTGGTAAGATAAACATAATGGGAAGTTAAATACCACCGTGAAAATATTCTCATTGCCTAGGGACATCTCCAAAACATAAAAATACTTGAAGGTCAAACCATTCTGCCTGTATGAAAAAAAACTTTACAGAGAGTCTAAGTGACAACCTTTCATAGTTTTCATTGCATTGATGTCGTCCAAAAATCTCGTCTTCCTTTCCGTTCATAAAATTTCTTTAAACCCAGCAAAACAATTTTAATACGCTACCTCACATTCCTACTTTAGTACACAGTATTGTATCAAATGATTATATCATGGTGTGTATGTGCACTCAGTAACACACTTGGGTTTAGTAACACAGTACTCGCTACTGAGTTAGGCGAAGGCCGGCGGGAATCAAACTGATGGGCTCTTCTCATCAAAAGAGTCTTTAGTGAAATTATGAAAGTGAATGTTTTCCCCTATTGTCCCCAAGAAGTTAACCCAAAAGGTGTATAAGATGTGATATGCCTTGGTCCACCATTACCAGTGCAAATCTAATCGTACTTTATGCTGTGCATTGTGAGGCATCCACATTGGTGACTGTTAGTGTTACGTAACTTGGCCATTACCTGAAGTCTCCATTTGCTGTTTGGCTTTTCCTAAAGATAAAATGACAAATACCATAAGCTACTGCTGTACTGTATAGCAGTATAAACCATCTGAAAAGGAAACACGAGCTTAAAATGTTTCCAAAGGTCTCCGTTCCTTTAAATTGCCCAGCCGTGCAACAAAAAAAATCAACTCCCCCCAAGTCTGCAGAAGAATTTGCAGTGGACATCTATCTGTTCACAGGACCAGTTCCCTCAGAAAAGCGTGTAGGTCAGCTACACAAACTACAATCCAATTGCAGTGGTTCTCATTAAGCAATTATGAAAGATTTGGCTTTTTTATGTGCTTTACAATTCACCTTTGAGGTTTGAAACTTCTCTGATTCAATAAACATTACAAAAGCCAAGAGGGAGTTTTACTTAGCAGAATTCTTACTCCTGTAGCCCCCCAGAAGGTCAATCGTTTCATTGATTTCTGCACATCTCCTGTTGATTTTGACAACACAAACACATACCCCATTTTTAACACGATCAGGAACTCTACTACTGTGATAGTTTTGTACAATTCAGATTTGTTTCTGTTACGCAGCAGGGATTTAATTGTTTCTCTTACTATAATCTATGAGGGTGCAATGAAATTGTAGTTCTGTGCATGAGAAGACTATTCAAGGAGTCGGAGAGACTCAAAAGAAAAACAGACATAGCTAAGATAAAAGCAACTTTTATTAAAATACTCTTCAAGCTTCATAAAGCATAAATTAATGAATGTGTAGCTACTATAATACATTATTTTACAGGAGAACCATAGGGCCATGAAGCTTTTATAAACACAAGAAAGCCTACGAGCTTCACTCTGTAATAAATAAATACTACTGTCTTATCTCGTTCTTGTTAGAGGATGTGTTGTAGCTCTTACAGGTACACAGCAACGTTCTGCTCATTTTTTTCTAAGTTTGCCACAATATGAACATATTACTAGTTTAAGCAGCAGATTCTTTATATTGAGCTTGCACTTTGATTTGCAACATTGGAAAATTTTTTTTTAATTTCTCTTTTACTTCCTTAAAAGCAGTCTGTCTTCTTGCTCTACTTTGTAAAACATTTACAACCACTCTAAAATTGACCTGCTGAAAATGTAGTGAAATCCAAGATAATTAATTATCCTGATTAAGTACAACAGTTTGAAACAAGTGCATACAGTCCCTCTTTGCTTTTTTTTCCCCAGCCCCCAAAATCAAAGTAATACAATTTCTTATTTTTTTGTTCATAATTTTCTGCTTTCTAACAACCTACAGTAACTCAAACTCAGCAATGCAAATGACTCTTTTAAGGCAAAAAAAGAACTGCAATAGCCATCTCCTCCCCCATGATGGGAGATGCAATCACCCAAGTTCTGTTTTAGATAGGCATTTTTTGTCAACTAGTGATTAGCACAAAAACATTTTCATCTCATTTTTTACACATCAGTAGGAAAGTGTTAGAAAAGTATAGAAAAGGCTAGAATTTCTCTCGCAGAAAGGCTAGTGAAACATGTTGGGTTTTTGGGGTTTTTTTTGGTTTGTTTTTTTTTTTTTTTTCAAAGCAGATGGAAAAGAAGAAAGGAAAGAAGTGTTTGTATTTTGCTTTTGCAACTTGAGTAAAATCACTGGACATTAAGAACACGTGCTGAGACTTCATGGTGCCAGTCACGTAATTTTGTATATTTGGGGCTAAAGACGTGGATGGGAACCTTTTCCCTGTGGAAAAAAGTGATAGAAGAAAGATAAGAAAGAAAGAAAGAAAGTTTGTCTTAGCAGTTTCACGAGCGAGCATGCAATCTCCATGCACTATTGCTACCCGCACATTGCCTTCCTCTTTGGCAAAAACTTGGATCCAGTGTTAGGCAAAGTCAGTAGAAAAACTCCCACTGACTGCAAGAACCGTTAGATTTAGCCACTGGCTGGTCCTCGTTTCAAACAACGCTTATCCCAAAGCAAGGAGACAGCTGACCCTCGTTCGCAGTCCAGAATGGTAATACTTTCCAGCTATGCCTTGCAATCTGATCCACATTCACAAATAAAAATGCCTGGTTAGATTTAGGAAAATGAAAACATGTCGACAGGCTGACCTCGTACAAAAAACCAAATCAGTCCAAGTTTATGGAAAACCTCAAACTCTTGCACAAACATTAATACTGGACTGCACCAACAGATTTAAAAAGGTTGGTCTACGCAGAAAAAGATCTTGGTTTTTACATGCTGAAGTAGAAGGCAAAAAGAGAAGCCACGTTTTAAAAACACACAGATGTCACACAAATGCATCAAACGCTATCAGTTAAGAATTAAGACATGCAAAGTATTAAGGTAATAAAAATGTAAAACATGAACTCACTTAGTCTTCTTTGCAGCTTCAGGTTCTGGTTCTTTCACTGCAAAAAAAAAAAGAGAAAATTTTTATTTTCTAAGGCACTAAAGGCACTGTACAATCAACCATACACTGAGGTTCTCCCCTGTGCCAATGCATTCACCATAGCAGAAAATTACAAGGCTCATTAGGACTCCTTGATTCTAAATATGAACTATATGGAAATGAGGTATGTCTATAAACTTCAAGAGCCCCTTTGCCAGTAGGATTGTTGAATGGTGGCTCTGCTGGTCTCTGCCCATTCCCTTGGCCCGCTCTCTATGTTGGCATTGAGAAAGATGAGTTGAGAAGGGGAAGATGAATGGAAGTTGGGAGGCATTTCTTTTGGACGGACATCCAGTGACTTTATATCAGGTGATAATCCAAGCGTCTGTTTGCAGCCAGGCTATGACCCATCAAGGTCCTAGAGGACCTTGAGCATGGGATAATGTAAGCTCCCAGGCCTGGTTTTAAGTTTGGCAAATCTAGTTGCAGTCACTTTGTTATTGTATTTGTCAATATGATTAATTCATGAGTAGTGGATGACATGTTATTTGACATTCAGGTCTCATATTCTGCCCTTACAAGGATTAAGGAAGAGAATCCAAAGATAGACAATGATCCATTAACCGACTAGCACAACGCAGGACCACGAAACAATCAGGTAACTGTCCAAGTTCAGAATATTTATCACACATGGACAATAATCCTTATTTGAGGACACGTTACCATTGGCTTCAAGAGTAATTCTGCCAGAGAATCAACAGTTGATTTAATCAAATCTGCACCCAGGAAGGGGGTCTGATTTCCTCACTGCCTTCTTTATTGTAGCACTAGCTATGAAAAGCAGAAGAGTGAAGTAATCACCTCTATATTAGCTGCCTCAGTGTGAAAATGACAGCGCTCAAATCTCCTGATGGCACTTCTGATGGCTTTTACACAACGTTACAGAGCTCAGCCAATGAGTTATAACTGACAGCATAATATGAAACTGAAATCTTACCATAAAATTATATGACTGGGAATGACCTTCCCCATATCATCTCTTCCAGTCCACAGTGTATTTAATCACAACACCATAGCGTAAGCAAAGGATGGAAACATGCCCTGGGAATAAACTGAGGAGCTATGGATTTATGCTTCTGATGGGTTTAAATCATTGCAGATCACATACCTCTGTACGACTGTCAAAGATTTTCTACGTGCCAGAAAACATCATAATTTTTCTGGAGCATTAAATTTGAACAGAGATCTCACCATTTTTGGTGATACATCTTTGGGAGTAGAAATGGAAATTTTAAGACTTATGTAGAATGTATTAATATTCAACTCAATCAGGAATAAAGTTCAGTAATGTGTATGTCCTGGTGCTATTTAGCAATTACAGGAGTTTAACAAAAATATTTTCCTACTATAGTCTTCCCAACCTTTTTCCTTTTAAAGAGCTCACCGAAATTCTGCCTACTGGATTTATTATCCAAGAGGGGAAATGCAAGAGACGTGACCGAACCCTTTCATTATTTCCCCCACCCTTCCAGCTTTTAAAAATACCTATTTGTCCAAGACCATTACTTTTATTCTGTTTACATCAAACTACTCACTATGATCAGTGCCGGTGATTTGGGCAAGGATGCGGAAAGAGCGGGACTGGGTGGTGCCGGTCCGGGGATGCCAGTCTTCAGTGTCTTCGATCAGCCGCTTCTTGCTGGCATCGCTGTGGGTGGGTGTGTGGTAAAACTCTGTATAGGTATCCACAATGTGCTTCCGCGGGGGGCTGCGTCAAGGAGAGGAGAGAGCAGTGAGACCACCTGGGTTGGGGTAGCTACAAAGACACAGGCAGAATTGTGACTTTTCGCAGCGTCTAAAGGCAGCTTCTGCATCTGGATGCAGACGCGCAGCAGTGAGCGCTACAGGCACACTTGAACACAGACTCAGTTCTCCAAACCAAACGCAGCGTTATAATTGTTCTAACCCCACTGAAATATTTTTCTTTGTTTCCCTGCTGGAACATTTGAAACAGTAAGAGACAGTTTTATCAAGACATTTACGTGTTTAAGCCTTTACCGTTTGGGTGGGTTTTTCCTTGGAGACGACAGAGTAAGACAGCAAGAGAAAGTTTTCCCAGCATAAACAGGAAAAGGAGAAAAAGAAAACAAGAAATAAAGTCAGAAAGTTGAAATTGAAGTGCAGCTAATTATTCTGTTCAATTAGTTTTGTGGGAAAGGGCACTGAAATCCAATTAATAGTAACACTCTCATTCTATAGCCACGGCACAGTACTCTCACTCAAACTCACGTAAATCTCCTTACAGGGGTGAGAGGGGAATTTGTTTTGGTAAAGCAGGGTAGTCTACTTAGTCGGGACCGGGTGCCCCTTGACAAATTCTCCCCTTGGTTCTCAAGAGGCAACGCGCTAGCTGCGTGCAAGGGCCACCCAGCCCACGCCAAGTGTTCTGCGCTTGGCAAAGCCTGGATCAGAACCAGGCCATTTGAAAGCACAGGCAGCGATGTTCTGGAGCATCACGTGGAGGTATTGATGCTCGATACCCTCTCTCAAAGTCAAAAGAGGGGGGAGATGGTTTCATCTGGAAATTTTCCCCACAGTAACCTAAATGCTATTATCAATGCCTGCACTAGCAGACTTACAAGTATACAGGATTTTAAAGCTTTATTTTCAGTAACTGATGTAAAGAACATGCCATGGCACTGATCAGTTTAGGACAAGGGAACAGAAGATTCACACTGTATAGATGACTCTTAAATTCTACATTTGTCATCCCAAAGCATTAATCTTTAAGACCCTTTAACTGTACACTTATTTTTACATAATAGGAGATTAACTGTGCAAAACTAGCTCCTAAGACATAACAATTCTAATAATAAATAAAAACAAAACCAAAAAACCCTCAACAAAACCTTAAAAATAAAGTTTTTGCCTCTACTTCCCCACTGTACTCTTAATGTCCAAAGTATTTCTGGTGAAGAAAGGTGGAAAATATGAGTGAGAATGATGTAAATTATTAATTGTCAACAAGTAAGAGTTAGGCCCATTCAATGGACTGCATTAGTAAATACTTACGCTTCAGAGAATACTTGAATATTTGCAAGAATGATGTGAAAGGTATTCATACAAAATTATATGAAAAGATTGAATATATTAGCACACAGTATTAGTGAAGTACGTGTACCACATATCAAAGTTACTAAAAGAGGGAGAGGTATAGAAACAAAGACAGTGGTATTTCCAGGATGGAGTACAAGAGGTACAGAGAAAAATGAAGTAAAGCATCAAAACAGTTAATAGCAAAAATACAATCTGGAAATTAAAGCAGTAATTAAAGGTGTGGAACTACATGGAAATGTAATTATTTACATGCAGTTGATGGCATTCTAGCAACTATCACAGTGAAATAAGTAGTCTTTCACATTTGTTGGAAGTGGTATTATAAACAAAATATCCCGATGACTGTTCTTGTGGATCCTACTGGCCCCTTTCTTAAGGCTTAAGACTCTACTAGCAATGACCCATTGAGGCAACAAGGTGGTGCCAGAGACAAAGGAAAATCCAATGAGACAGGCTCTCCCTTAACTCAGCCTTGAGGCAAGGGGAGAGCAGACAAGCCAATAAAACCTCAATCATACTTATCATCCCATAATGTGCAAATCACAACATATAGATGGTATTCTTATTTTTGTTGTACGAATTCAGTACTTGGCCCTTCATACCATACTCCTCAAACCATTTTTGCTTTTATACTGTATTTCACCATTTACTAGTTGTATTACCGACACCAATTAGCCATAGGTGCACCAAGAATTTATCAATACACATAAACACCACACAAATGTTTTGTTGAATTAAAAAAAGCTGTGAAATGTAACACAGTGAAAAGCAAGATCACATCATGTCCAATGCAGACAAAACCATTTACTACACTAAGAAGTTACTAAGAAAAGCTGAAGCTGTTTTGCAAAATTTAAATATAGAGCTCTGTAAGAGCTATAATTTTGCAAAACAAGAATACATGCTGGTTATTCCAACAGGAAAAACGACCATAATTCAACTCCAGTGCTGTTGATACTAACTTTGTCACTGTTGTTATCTGCAAGGGAAAAAAAGTATTTGATGTGTTAATACATTCTGTGATTCTGTGAAATATTACAGGAGTTTCCAAATCCAAGCTCTGGTAAAGCCATATATCATGTAAGTCAAACTTACAATCATCAAGAGAACCTACAAGGGAAAAATTCAGCACAGCTGAGCTTAAATTGAGTGGAGCCTGTGGACATCTTACCTGTTTTAAGCAGCAGGCACGTTTTCATGCAAGAGTTGGCAAGAAGATCTTGATAAAAGCGTAATTGCACGCAGCCTAGTGAAGGCAAATTGCTTGCTTTCTAAGCCAGGGCTAAACACAGGAAACAAAACTTCCTTCCCCATCCTGAAGCGAAGGCAAATAGTTTATATCCTGAATGTGGTGTGAGGGGAGCCAGGAGGAAGGGAGGAAATTCTGAGTACAACAAGGTGCATGCCTGAAGAACTGCATTTGCTCAGCAATGCTATCTCTGAACAAGATAAAAGGTGCCTTTTTTTTGAGAAAACAAATAATACAAAATACAGAAGCAAAATGGAATTTATTTCAGACTGATCAATTATTCCAAATTTCAATGTTTCTAATATTTCCTAAGTGTTATAGATTCCATTTTAAATGGGGAGATAGTTAAGCATCGTTGCAGAAATGTCATTTTTTTTAAGTAAAACTAAAAAGTAAGTAGTATAGTATACATTGGCAGACCAATATTATCGCTTTAGTGGGTTTTGTTTTCTGTCCTAGGACCTCAAGACAGTTAGACAGCCCAATCACACTATTGTAAGAAAGATGGCAAAATAAAGTAGGTTTTTGCAGCTTTAAACATTTTCAAACTCTCCCAGGCTAGATCTGCAAGGTTGGCAGGGAGACGGGGATTTCTTCACCTGTCAGCTGTGCTACTCTTCAGTCGGTATTAAGGCCGGGCAGGTAACAGCGCTCACCCAGCGCTCCTCCTATCTTGATTGTCAAGTGCTTACTCTACGCCTGCAGCACTTCCTTCCAGGACACTTCATTTTGTTACTATTGTTCCTCTTTTTTCAGTACTAATTGCTGCTTTTGAATACTCCTTACACAGTCATTTGCTAAAACAGCATTCCTGGAAACTTAAGAGATGGTTTGCCAAACTATATTCAACAAGTCTACCAGCATCGAGCAAGTGCTTGGGATCTCCCAATTTCATCCCACTTCTATGCAGCATGGACTCTCGCCATCAGCTCTTGAAGAAAAGGCTGGACGTTACCATGACAACGGTGCGATATAAAATGCATATGGACTGCATTATATGAGTCCACATATGGAAAATATTCGTACTGCAATATAAAGGGAATAGGTGTCCAAAGAAGGATTTTTCCCCCCCCAGGAGAAGCTCAACTAAAACTGGAATTTATTCTGTATGTTAGTTGATGTGGATGTTTTCCTTTCTGTAGGGTTCCTCATATACTTTACATACTGAGAGCATATCAGAAGAGAGAGGCACTAGGCCTATTCCTCCAAGCCCCTTTCCTTTGAGTGATGGGAAACAGTAAACGCAGCTTTTAGGTTTTAAGCGCAGGTTTTATGTTCTTAAGATCGAAGAGGAACGTACTTGCCTTTTTTTATTACTTATTTCAATCTGCCGGACACTGCGGCCGGCACGGCGGCCAACTGGCATGGGACCGCTCACACCCAGCCTCCCCCTCTCTCCGTGGCACAGCAGCCGCTGGGAACCAGTCCCTGGGGCACTGCAGCTCCCGAGCCCTGCCCAGGAATTTCTGGGAGAGCCCGAGCCGGCCCCGGCCAAAAGCGTGCCAACGAAACAGGGCAGCGTTGCAGGTCTGAGTGCCCAGGACTGTTGCTGGGCTCAGTTTAATTTAGTATCTATTGTTTACTAGTCTAGATGCTACACCAGATATAGTATAAGCCTTTCACGCAGCCTTACGGTCCCTTAAATGTTAGGTCTCTGATACCCACTCTACCATAAACAATTATTTGAATACAAAAAATTCCTCAAATTTTAAAGATGAGTTGCTTTTTTAGGGTAAAGGCAACATTTAAAGTTGAGGCATTTATATTGTAATGCTGCAAAAAATCTGCTCAACCCTGCCAGCTTCCTTGAATAAATCGTAAAGTTTCTCGTGTGTTGTGCAGAGAAGTAATGTGACATCTGTCCCTTTGCCTCCCTTCTGGGACCTTTCTCCACTGGTCCTGCCGGGGCCACAGCTGGTCTTTCAGGGCATCTCATTCCTGGCCATCACAGCACCCACCGACCTGTCTTGACACGCCGCTCTGCATTTTTGAGTGCCTGCTGCTTTCAGTCACCTCATCAGGAGTCAAAATACACAGTGAGACACAGACAGCAAAATTAATACCGGGCTTGTTGTAAGGTCCAGAAGACATCGCGATACAACTCATCGTGTAAAGCATTTCGTGGTCCCGATTCAATTTAGCTGTGACACTCAATAAGCCGATATGTCACTCCTGAGAAAAATCATCACCGAAGGTCTGGCCGGGCCCTTTTAAGATGCGAGCCCTTCCTCAGAGATTCGCTTTGGAGAATTAAACGACTCCTCCAAGCTGCGTTTCATTTAGCCCTTAAACAAGCCCAGCTTTTTTCCTGCGAGGAAAGCCCCTCACAGCAAAAAAAAATCCCACCTACCCATTTTGCTGTTTACTCTCCCCCTGGTTTTCTCTGAATCCTCGTCGTGGCCCCTCGGCTACATCCTGGGCGCCGTCGCCG